AGTGCGTTCACCCTCAATGAAGCCTGTGTAACCAGGCTAGCATGTTGGCCCTGGAGCCGATGAGCTGGCCTGTGTTGGTCCTGGCAATAGTCTGTCCTCCAGGCTAGTCAGGGTTGCAGTGTCAGTGTGACATTTCTATCCACAACACGGGAAACCCCGGGTCTCTCCGTACAGACGACAGGACCGGGGGATCGTCTCCCCCTGGTGTCACACGGGTCAACCCTTCCTTCCTCCCAAACTCGCTGACATCTTGATCTAAAGTGTGCTTTCTGGCTTGAGCCGAAACCTTGGCCCTTTTGGACTGACTCCAAAGCCGCCCCCGAAATGCGATAGCTGCAAAGAGGACAGACTGATCCATTGTAGGTAAACTTGCCCACCGACCGTGATGTTATAGTACAGCCCAGCCTCGTGCCAACGTGATCTCATCCGTGCAACATCAGGCCACGACCTGGGAGTAGTCATAATATACTAATGGAGCCCCGTATCAAAACACGTTTCATAGTTGTTTTACCTTTGCTGAGAAGGATATGTTTTCAGATCCTTGTTTTGAGCGTGCGCGCGCGCGTGCGTGTGTGTGTGTGTGTGTGTGTGTGCGCGCGCGCGTCCGTGTGTATGTCGTGTGTGTGTGTGTGTGTGTGTGTGTGTGTGTATTTGTGTGTGTGTGTGTGTGTGTGTGTGTACGTGCGCGTGTGTGTGTCATCAAAACCGTAACTCAAGAACACTGAAATGATGAGGTTTTTGCATTTCGTTTAGTTTTACTGTCGCAACAGAGAACGTCGGAAATAACTTATCCCACACGATCAGGGAAAAACTAACTAACACGCCCCCTGTTAATTTATTTCATCTCCACTCTCCAATATTGCTATCTGCATGCGCGGCACGAACTGAAAGTGGCCCCGCAGGCGTTTTAAAATTTCCTGAGCACGGGATGCCGATAAGCATGTGGCGGGCTCAGGAAACCTCCACTTCCTCTGCAGAATTGGCAGAACCGGAGGAAACATGAGATCACCGCAGACGGTTTCATGATCAAAGCTAAAGAGGAAATGGGGAGGTTTCGTTACATTATTTTTTTTACAGGGATGTGTTCTTCGATGCGGACATTGGACAATGAAGAAAAAAGGGCATCATACAATCTAGATTTACGGACAGGGCCTAAAATATGATCGTAAAAGATCTGCTTAGCATTATACACAGTGCAAAAATATCGACCAAACTGGCGGCCATGTTGTTTTTGATGACCTTGACGGAGGGGTTGAAGCGTTGGAAAGTGACCTCTGGCCCACAAGGGGACATAAAATCAATCGACACTGACTACGATTTTATGCTAAAACGTTTGAGAATCGGGCTGGGGATTGAAACCTGTTGGGTCAATTATTCAGGCTATGAAAGAAAGCAGAGAAACATGTATCGAGAGAAAACTTACAACACCTCAAGGGCATGACGGTTTGGTTTTGTGATTGACATGTCATCGCGTCGCCTCGGGTTGGCGCGAGTTTTACACAAAGGGCGCATTGGGAACTCTCCCGCCAACTATCGGCTCGTGAAAATGATGGATTTGGAACGTAACAACGCAGAAAAACAAATTAATCAAAACATTACAATCTGGTTTTCATTTTGTCTCAAAAAAGTACGCCATTTGAGACAAGAAGGGAGACCGATAAAAAAATCATCTTTCAAGTCAAGAGTTCTTGCGTGTGTTTTTTTCGGTCAATTAATACAAGCAGGTTACTTGGTTAGTTAGCATTAACGTCAAATCATTGTCAACTTTATAATACTGCCGTATGTACCTGACTCTACTCTGAGGGAATTTAGACCTAGTTTCTGTCACCGAATTCAGACTATGCCCGGACTGTCCCGGGGTTGCCGGGTTGTTTTGGATGTTGTAATCCGGCAGGTGGGTTATGAAATATTGGCCGGAGGGGAGGAGAGGTTATGTCATCCGGACAAAAGGCGGAGACCACACAGAGGAGCGCGTAACACACCATCCGCCCAAGGCAAGGGTCACTGAACTCTCAGTTAAAGCAGAGGTTCATTTTTGACGTGTTTGAGGCGTTTTTTAATCATTTTTTTCCCTTTTTGAACTGGTATTTTTTTACGCCGGCTCTCAGTACTGTTAGCAATGTCTGTGGGACTGGAAGGGTCGCAAAGCAATAAACATGGTTAAGGGGTGAAGGCTGCCATCTGTGCTTGCCTTGTTGTTGTTATTCAGTGCTACCCTATAATGATAATTGATTGCCATGTCACAAAAAAACTATACCTTCTCAGAAATGATTGTAAATTGCCAAATAAGGATCTACCCAAGGATATTTTCGTAGATCCGACGCCCAGTTAAAGATTCTCCTGTCGTGCAAAATCCTACCGGTCAGTCTAGTTGTACTGGGCGGTGGGGATCGTCTTCAGGCCCGAAGGGAGCCCGCCCAAACCACAATAGACTGAACACTCAATCTTCGAAACCAGGGTTGGACAAGTTTTCAAAAATCCACTTGCCCTATCGGGCAAGTACATGGTCATTTCCACTTGCCCGGACCAACTTTTCACTTGCCCGAAATATAAATGCCATATTTTGATGCTTTCTTGATTGCAGCAAGGAAATCCTTTTAAATTTAATAAATAAAAACATTTCAAAGTTATTACGCAATTTTATGTCAGGTTACTAAAGATGTCACATGTTGGAGTCACAGGACAACAATAAATTGGGACAATATTTACTGCTACTGAAAGTCTGAAACTATTTTAAAGTACAAACTTTTGTACAACAACAAATGAAGAAAATGTTCAAGTATTTGTTACAATTTTCTACTTTACAGGTACAAGTCTGAAGAAGTTGCATTGACTTAAAAATAATCCATTAAAGCTCATGTACATAAAAAAGACAAACATATTTAGCTAAACCACCTCCTTTACTGTACAGAGTAGAAAACATAACATATCAGAATCAACAATTGAACTTAGTACCAGTAATGTAAGACAAGTTTCAATGAAACTTTTTTCTAATAAAATTCTATGCTATTCTTTAAGTTTTCTGTATCAAAACAATCTAGGACCAAGATTGTCAAACCAAGGCGGTCAAACAGAACAGATTTCTTCAGGAGAGTAGAAAATTTTAACGTTATCAGTCACGCATTTCCACGCCTGTCAAACTTCCTTGGCCAGTGCGCCCGTCTGGGCCACGAGGGAAGATCTCATTTCAATCACCAACTTTGCCAACAATCTCATCTTTGTGGCTGTTTAGAACATTATATCCTTCATTTCCCCCCAAAAAAATTATCCCGATGGCAGTTCAGAAGCCCAAAACAATTCTAGAAACATCGCATAACTTCAGGACCGCCATGATTCCTGGCTTGAGCGCAAGATCTCGTGATCACCTGACCCCTCTAATGATGTAAGGATATCAAGTCTCGCGAGAGTTGGGGCCGCGACTTCAAAATTAACATGGCGACCCGGATGGAAAGAAGACGCTCGGCCTGGGTGTTTCGTGAAAATAAAGCTATTTTGCTGCTTTATTTGCCAAGATAACGGTATCTAGAGACTTTTAATGGGTTTTATGACAAATGGACATGATTTTGACTCGCATTCCTATGGTATTTTACCAGAAAAAATCGGCAATTTTCCCGATATACTGGAGAGTCCAAAAAAACATGCTTGCCCGATCGGGCAAGTCCAGGGGGACATTTGCTTGCCCGATCAGTACTTTTACTTGCCCGGGGCAATCGGGCAATCTAACTTGTCCAACCCTGGAAACGCACCTTGTTATTCCCGCAACTCACCAATTAGCCACACAACACAAAACGGCTCCCGGCAAGAAATTCCTGCGAGTCAAACTGTCTGATATTGTCCCGTTTTATAGGACATGTGACCCGTTTGTACCCTTTTTTATTGTTCTTCGGGAGAGAAGAGTTTGGAATTTTTCGCCTATAGGGTTGTGTGATAGTGAGTCATAGACTGGTGTTATCTGCCATTTTTCTTTAAACGATACAAAACAGCTTAAGATGACAAAAACAAACAAACAAAATACATGTATAGCCTGAACTACACAAACATTGGTGGCGTTCTTCTATTAAACTTGCGAACTTGTGCAGTTTTGTATTACTAGTATGTATTTGTATTGTTGTATTGTGTTTTAATTCTTGAATACAAAAAGTCTGAAAAAATCAACTTTCGGTCACTTCATGATTATCCCCAATGTATACTAAACCCACCATCGCGCCCAGACCCCGTCATTACTGCGTCACCCCTTCCCCTGACGCAGTCGCAGCGGTCGGCGGAAGTTTCTTGTGAACGAAGAAAACATTATCGTCTCCAGACAGCTTTTGATATTCTTGGCCAGGCTTCCACTAACGCAAAATTAAGAACCTCGACCTTCAAGATTTGGTCCAAGAAGGAAACCCATTCATACGGCTTAACAGTAACAGCCTACATATCTGACTTCATAGCTTGTCGGTACAGATATCGCAAGCTGCAACAGAGCGTTCATTCTTCAGCATTCTTATCAGTTAGCTTGTGGTTGCAAGAAGCTTACGTGAAGAATAGAAGTACATCTCAAATCCCTTTGATGAAATAGATCACAGAGGCGGTGTGTTAACCTTCTCCCTGCTGCCTCATGCTGTACCCAGTACAAATTGCGTGTCGAAAGGCTACCTTTAGTAGAGAGAGGGTTAATAAAGGGCCTCGGGTTTCTGTGCACGCCGTTACCACAGGAATCGCCATAACGTTGTCAAAACAAACACGATCAAACACTCCACTTGATCCTGACCAAAGCCGTTTGTCAAAATCGCAGAGACGTCTCTTTTGGCACTCGGCCAGCAGGGCGAAAAGGCAAACATCACTTACGAACATAGTTACCGACGTGTTGGGCATTTCTCACCAAGCGACCGACGATAATAATACCCGTCTGTCACTGGTGTCAGCCCGTGGTAACTAGACTACCGCTGATCTTTTAACACGACGGAGAGGCTAGATAAACTTAAGAAAGGTGTGCGATAAGGCAAGTTTTGGCTTACTTTGTTGGCGCGTCTTGGTGACAAACGTCTTCACCCGGACGGCCTTGAGAGGGATCCGGACCGTCTTGGCTTCTTGTTTGGCCCTGAGATGTTCGGGGTCCGTCTTGAAGGCGTGTCTTTGTTCCCAGGCGTGTTTCGTCTTCAACAACGCCTTGAGTTTTTCCTCCATCTCTTCCAGATACTTCTCAGAATTCTTGATTCTGTCCTGGATGATTTTGTGCTCGATTTTCAGCGCCTTGAGTTTTTCCTTGATGTGCCCGTAGGTCCGTTCGCGGGACTCGATCTTGGTGCCCAAGACGAGCAGGCGCTTTCTCAAGGCTTTCACCCTCACTTTCAAGACGTCTAAGGAGACGTCGATCAAGTTAGAAGAGTCTTGCAGCTTTTCTTCCAGCTGCGTTTTCGACTCTCTTACTTTCTCTCGCTCTTTCCTGAACCTCTGGATCTCCTCCTTGATGTGCGCTAGTCTCTCCTCGTGACTTCTGATGGACTTTTCGGTTTCTGTCGCCTCCCTCTGCAGTTGAGCGAACGCTTCCTTGGCCAGATCGTACCTCCTTTTCATCTGGACACACTTCTTGCTGGCCCTGTGCAGGGCGGCCTTTGTGTTCTGGACGTACAGAATATCCCGCCTAAGCCAGGTCTGAGCCCGCGTGAATACAGCGTTCAGCTTCTGTAAGACATCAGGGATCAGTCTCAGCAGCGGGCAGGTTGTGCAGTCTACCTCGTCCGCCACAGTCTGAGAGAACAGCTCGTTACTGAAGTAGTAGTCCTCCACTTCGGGGCTCCACAGAAGGACCTTGATCTTGCTCATGAGGTCGAGAATTTCGGACTCGATCCGCTGAAGGGAGACGTCCTCCCGGCCGATGTACGGCTGGTGTCCAGAGCAAAACGTCTGCAGGGGGACCAACACCTTCTGGGTGAACCCCATGTACATCTCCTGCAGCACCGCGATGTACTTGTCCATCTTGGTGATGAAGTCGTTCAGCCTGTTCAGGACGCCGAGGGAGTCCAGCCCCTTCCTTCGGTTGTCCACGCCGGGGTCCCCCGAGGAGATGTCATGCGTCGTCCGGTCGCGGATGTTCTTGAGCTCCTTCAGGGACTTAATCCTCGGGTACTGGTACAAGTCGTTGACGACCATCAGGACTTCGATGGACAGCGTCTTCAGGTACTTGATGTCCCCCAGGACGTCGTCGACGTGCTGATGCTGAGATTGCAGCTGCCGCAGCGTGCAGTCGATTCGCTGGTGGATGTTGGACAAGTTGAACTCCATCATGTTTTCTTTATTTTCCTCACAAGGCATGTCCGGGTCTGTTGCAACGATTCCGGATCCAAGTTTCTGTAGACAAGGAAGAAGAAAGAAATCAGTAATCTTGAAACTGTTTTACAGATTTTTCGGCGGCTGAAAGACAGTATCAAATTGGCTAGACAGTATCATTCACATCGGCAGGGCGGTTTTGAAGGCCTTTCGAATGCAAAAAAAATAGATACAAAACGAAAGCCCGATAAAAACTACTAAAACGCGTCAAAATAATCCGAACCTATACCTCTGCCTTGGATAGTACGAAATTAATGAGGAGGTTAGATGAAAATCAAGCGACAGGCTGTCATTTCACAACAGACTGGCTGCGCGGAAGAGTTCTGGTAGACCTGGTTCTGACCCCGTCGTTTTTACCCCCAAGTCGTGCAGTGTTTTTTCGCTGCAGCTGCGCGTCGGCTGCCAAGATTGGACTGTCACAAAAAAGGGGACGGCATAAGTCACCCATAGCTGCTACAGACAAGTAGTGAACACTGCAGGACGACTGCCAACGGCGAGGGGACCGTCCGTTAATGATAGCTATGGGACGGTCCGGAACGCCTGTAAAGGAGGCTACGGTACTCAACGTAATGCGTTTGCCTAGACCTCTTCGGGGGTGCTTACTCTGTGCAAGGAAGGTTTGAATGGGGCATTAAAACACCCCTGCCATGTGTGCTGCAGTACTCTACATCCCATGGCCCACTTGAACTTCTGTACTCTACAACATCTATATTTTTTTTATTTCTTATTCATTAGTTCAATATCATTATGTAGCATCCCTATGCAAACACGGCATCGACGAGGCCGTAGTACAGAGTGTATAGAGATACAAAATGTATAATCTTTATGTAGAGGAGCAGTTTTCCTAGCTCCTCGCAGTTTGTTACAGAAACGTGCAGCCAAAAAAACATCAAACTTTTGTCGCCCAACGTCTGCTTGGGGATTGATAGAAATGAACTGAAAATGAACTGTACGCGTGTGATAGTATCACATTCGTGTGGATCTAGAACAAGAAGAGGGGTGGAGTTTCACAGTTTATCGTCTGAGTGGAAACTGGAGTAGGTTTATCTCTGGCCAAAGCACCCTATTGAAGGCAAACGAGCCGGATCGAGCCCCGGAAGTAGACCCTCCACTCAGGCACTGCGTAAACTGGAACAATCGTCCTCCGCACTTGTCAGTCACAGCCTGTGTACCTTGCAATCGCGCCGTTCAAACAAGCGGCTGGTCTGACGGGTGTGTTTTCACACATACTCCCGGATAAGTACACAACCCGTGCGAAATCCGTAAATATGAGTGAAAAAAACGCCGCAATTTGACTTCATTTTATCACGCCCATCTCCTGGGACGTTTCATGAAAAACGGCGTCAATTTGAGAACACGCGTTTTCTATTCTTCTCCGTGATTGGACCCGAAAGCTCATGTAATGATGATGACAGCTGCCGTTACTAGATAAAACTCTCCAGGCCCTCCGGGGTATAATTTATAATATGTAGCCTGATGTCTATCGTGGTTGGGGCGGGTTCTCTTCGGGGCTACGGGTGCTCTTCACCGCCCGACTCGACTAGGCTCCCCGGTAGGTTTTGCACGACGGGAGTTTAAATACTAGTAGCCCCCCACGATAGACTGGGCACCAGACCACTGGGGTTAATGATACACGGGGTATGAAATGCGATATGGGTAGTCTCCAAGCAGAGGTTTAGGATTCGTTTTGGGGTTTTTTTTACGTATTTTAGGCGTTTATATCGGACTTTCTTTTTTTACACCAGCCAAAGAAACGGGTGGCGTATTGCATACTGCCTGGCTATTTTGATACTTTCTTGAAAATTTGATCTGCTTGGGGATTAATATGATACACGGGTGTGGAATGCGATATTGCGTGATGACAGCGACATAAAACTTTCAGAACACCTGACCAAAGGATTACGTTACGTCTAGTCCAGCGCCGTCATGTCATCTATTGTTTGACCAAGGACGTAATCTCTCTAGACCCGAGAACAATAGAGACAATATCAATATTTGTACCGACGAGCACAGGCAATTAACATAAACCCTTTCTTCTCAATTTTAGCAAACTACTTCCAATTGAATCTAAGTAAAACGTGTGATGTGCAAAAAAAAAACGAAAACAGCACACACCATTCAGCGCGAATTCCGTGAAAACACAATGATGCGCCGGATTTTAGGAAATTAGAAACTCGAGAGGAACTGCAGGGAACAATGCTAATCGTAAAAGCAAATGTTGCGATACAATGATGTTACTGCGTACAGGTTTCAACCTGATACAGTCTTTTGTGGGCTGTTTTATCTCTTTGGTAAATATATTCAATAGTGAGGACAGGTGATAGTCTTTGTCTTCAATTTCTTTCATCACAGAGTACCAAACAGTTTAGACGTTCATACACATTGTGACAAAGAAAAGCTGACAAAACACAAAACGTATAAAACATCCACAACATGTACAAGTCTAACCTCTGCTTGGAGAGTACAAGTCGATAGGGGGTTGCGTAATTGGGAAATAACGCCATCTGGCTTGGCTCTTTCTGTACTCCCAGTGGACTTCCCGCGTGGCCCTCTCCGCTTACACTGACGCGGCGTGCCCACCGTTTATCTAAAACCCCGTCCCTAGCCTGGGTACCAGACTTTTGTCAGGGTGTACGTACAAACTAGCTCCTCGGCTTCAGGGCCCCAAGGAAATTTTACCACAGTGCCCCTCACCACACAAGAGATAAATAGACTGGACCCCGGGTGCCAACTTTGGTACCCCAACTTTGAGGTAGGGACGCGTGACTTCCCCCTGCCGAACGGAGTACCGTGTCGCCCTTGGCAGGGGCCTGGCATCCAGACTACCCCTTACGTCCCTCGCCGAAATCCGCAAACCAAACATCCCAGTCGCCTCTCTCTACACGCATGACGTCAAGGTTGATCGATTGGATCTGCTAAAAATCATTATCCCATTTTAAACACGTCTGTCTGCTTCCTTCTGCGAAGAATTTGTTTACCCTTCATGTAGTGTTCACAGAAAAGGATACGTTCAAAGTGACCACTGACTCCTTTTCACTGGATGGTGCATAATCGCTGAGAGATCAAAATTGGATTTATGCAACCCTTGATGCTCGGATTGGAATATGATGCACGATGTAATTGTAAAAATATGATTCAAACGACAATGAAATAGTTCTTTGTGTATGAAATTCCTTGAGCGATCTTTGAAATATTTGGCCACTCAGCGGTCGCAGCCCCTAGTGTAAGTAATTATTCTTACTCAGGATGCAAGAGTTGTTTACTTTCTGTGTACATAAAAACAGATACAACAACAGCTCCCCCCGTCCTGGAACATGTGGTGGTGTACGGGACAAAACAAAGCCCAGCCCCCCCTGCGAACGGCGGGATTTAGTGCCCATTTCGGGATGAAAGACTCTCTTTCCGCGGCAGAAAATCCGCGGCTTTTGTTCGAAACACGGGCGGTAAAGGTCAGCCCAGCGGAGAGGGCTGTACTTCCCCGTCCCCCTGACTGTGGGGGAAAACACAGCTGTGGTCTAGCGCCTGTTTTCCGTATGAAGCCGTGGGGGATAAACGCGAGCGACAGTGCATACTACGAGCTAAACGCCGTCCCGTATCCCGTACTAAACGGGACCGTCCCATACTACATAATGCAAAGTTTTCGCACACCCAACAAAACAGGGAAAGTGTGGACAATTCCAACTGACAAGCTGTGACAATACGACAATTTGACATGCAAAATTTACGTCCATTTATATGTTAAACGGAAAACCGAGACTTTGCTAACCCCATGCACCCGTTTAAAGCGTCTGCCAAATATTGTTGTAAGCGGTTCTCACACTACAAATGACTTCACAGCCAAAACAACGAGTATTTTAGTCCCTTGATAAATTACTTTTCTTTTACCGTCTTTTAATTAATTTTTACGCCAATGGTTTGATTCTAACCCATACAAGCACCCCTGCTGTACAACTTATTACTGATAGCGTACGTGTAACCAGAAGCGTATGTGTCCGTCCACACAAACAACGCTATCCAACCCCAACAGCCGACCGACGCAATACAACACTCCCACACAAAACACACTCAAAACCGACACATCCGACCACACGTGGGCACTATCTCTCCCAAACATGTTTTCCAAAACATTTCGAAATCGCAGCTACTTGAATAGCGTTTGTGTAAACGAAGCAAAACGTGTTTGGATAGATGACCCAACTACGTACTGGGATAGACACTCACCAAAAATGGAAGCACAGGGCTATGTGCCCACTGTAGCGGTGGAGAGAAAGCGTGGCACGCTCCGAACTCTCTCTCGTCTCTCCCACTGGTCTCACCAGACAAAGGCCGCGCGATCCCCCGACTGTACTCGTTCTTACCTGCATGCTATCATTAGAAGGCGCATCACCTTGTCGCTCCATCAATCAGAAAACGGGAGAAACAAAAGACCAGCGCGGGGCCCCGGATAGAGGGGGGCTCATCTGACGAGGCCTCCGTCCCAACAACTCCTCCTGCGCGCTCATTGGTCAGCAACTGCGGTGATGCCAACCGCCCGAGGACCCCGCTAGCTGTCCTTCTACTTTAGTGCCTGAGCGATTTGCGTGTGTGGCTTCTGTATACTGTAGTACTAGATATTGAAAAACGGACGAGTGTAGTGCATGCAGTACACGTGAGACGAAACCGAATCGTCCATCCAGAAGATACACTTTTCCGGAGTATTTTACAATTAAGCGGATTTTGTGATATATTTTTGTGCAATAAAGGTCTTCATATCATATCGCATCACATCATATATTTTTGTGCGTGTGCAACGAACGAAACGTACACTTGCCATGCTGGTCTCGTCCGCAATTATCTTCAAGAAGAAAATTGGGCGATCGTTCATTCAGCTAGTGTTCACTGGACGAAGACAGTCCCATGCATAATATTTAGGAATAGAAATATTCTTTTCAGTTATGTAGTAAGTAAATTTCACCATCACTTTATAGTAATGGCACCCAAAGTGATTTCAGGGCAGTAAAACTATTTTTCGCAATAAATGTCAAAATCAGATAAATTTACAGAATATTTTTTTTGTTCTGAAATTGAAATCGCATTGGATGACCACTTTGATAGTACCTGCGAATCCGCGATATGACGATTGTTTTAATACTCAACTCTGTAGGTCCTGTTTATTTTGCCAGTGCTGAATCTGTAATGCCATTGTGCGAAGCTTACACGCCACGTGCGCGTCTAGCTATACACGGCGTCACGGGACAAAGACAAATGTAAATAATGCATATATTCATTTATTCTCGTCGTTTCGAGTCATGAATGCCTCAGGCGGCATTTGATGTGTTTGCTTTTCGTACAGTTCGCGGGTCTGAATCTTACATGGCGCGAGCTTCATGAAAATTGATTGGCACGTCTGCAAACGCAAATCAAGTGTTGATACAATGTAAAAACTATATCAAGCTCCTTGGTGAAACCATGGAGGTAGAATATCAAATACTGTATTTATTATTCATTTTAGCATTTGAGCATGTCGTAAAGCTGAGAAATATAGACTTAGCACGTTATATGAATGACATTATATATTAATTACGTCCTATAAAATCCACAGTTGTAACTTGTATGCAGTCTACAACACAACCCTTTCTTTTGCGGAAAAATGATTGAATACAGCCGAACAATTTTGCCTGGCGAGTAAATCAAAATCCAAGCAGATGTTGGGGTTGGACCAGCGCCGTTTCTGACTACCGAGCTTCTCTGACAGCTACCCGCCGCGAGACCCATCACAGAGCCCCAACATATGCTTGAACATATACTAGTATTCAATAGTAGCTAGCCGAGAAGTGATTTCAAAATTAGAAACACGGTGCTACGGGCGCTCTCTCACTTTCTTTCCGCCAGCATATACTCTCACAATTACACGCATGCACGGCCACGCCGCGAAAACAGCAAAGAACGCCGCTTACACCGTCCCAAGAGAACCGGTGCTGTAGCCTGTGTGTCCAGAATAACGTAATGATTAGTTAGGCTGGCCACAGCTGTTATTCTATCAAAGCCTAATGCATTTCCTTTTGACCATTCGGATCAATCGATATCATTTAATGAATTTTTTGGGAGGGCTGTTCGCTCATTTCGAAGTCTGCTTTTTATGGACTGCTCTCGATTTAATTGCATTATAGATAAATTTGACAGAAATTCTTAAATGAAAATTAACAAAAAATGGCTCAAAGTGAAGAATGCATTTTGAGTGAAAGACACGTACCAAACACGGGTTTGTTTGATTTCATCCCCCATAATTTTTGGGGAATTTTTAATATCTATTGTGTCATTCGATGTGAAAATGTAACAGTTCTTGTATTAACAACTGCCAATTAAAATAATGAATTCTAACAGACTCTTACCCATACATGTACTACAACACCCTTTCCTTACATATTACAACATTACAGTACGTTATGTACCATATATTGTACCACCCTCCCAATAATAAAGCGTTTAATAGCTTTGAGTAAACCATGTCATTTATCACAGGATAGATTAGATTGTCACCGTCAAAGGAAGGATCCGAAACTTGTCCCAGTTTTCACGTACATAAATATTCTACTCGCTCACACACCCAGCAGGTAGCAAGAACGGTAAAAAAATCAATCCCTGGCCTTAACCTACATACCAATCAGAGCGAGCAGGCAACAGTCATCAGCCTCGCTTCGCAACTTTCATTTCAATTTGGTTCATTATGGGCCTGTTGCGAATTGTATCAGTTACACACATGTGCTTAGGTTTTGTGATTACATGCTTTGCGTTACCTGCGGTGAAAACGATGACATGGTATCCAATTTGCTTTCAATTGCATCTTCAATAAACTTTGACGCCCAAAAGGAAGAAAACGTTCAATATTCTGTAATTCAGATGTATTTCATCCCGTAGAAATATAGTGAGGTATCAACTTCTATATACCACAGGTGGCAAAATAAAACGCACGGATGCGCACCCATATGTTGGAATTGTTTACGGATATATGCTGGCAATAAATGCAGTTACGCACAGCGGCATAATGTATCTACGTCCACGAAATCCAAATAAACATGAAATAGATGAATTGTAGCGATGTTCGTTAGCTGATTTAATAATTTACATATACGACAGGTGCAGATGTTGTGGAATAGTCTTTCAACTCCGCACCAATCCCCCCAGGACACACAAACAACGTTCGCGCGATGACGGGTGAATTGTTATTATGGCAGACTCGCGAGGCGATTTGTGTAGCTGTACCACGCGCGGGGCATTGTTCAAACTCACTCGCCGTGAAAATGTAATATTCATTTACACTTTCACTCGAAACACAGCGGTAACTTTTCGATTTTTCGATATATGTGTCGACAGTAGTGTAGAATGACGAATTGCGAATGGCTAGACTACTGCCTGTGAATGTTAATTATAATAAGGTGCGCATATACAATTAGAGTTATTGAATTCTAGTAGTTACAATTAATGATCGAAGATGAAGTAATTTCAATTCTGTTTCAATTTGCGCATGGTCGCATAGCATGTGGCATAGAGTCCATTCCAAGTCATTAGGTCTTTATGACCATTGTCTAGATTTAATTTCAATATTTTATTATTACTTGGTTTACAAACATCACAGCAATTTTTAAAACATAGCACGCCCAAATCTAAATGTTTGTGACAAATCATGCTTATAGCTAACAATTTCGAATCACTTTTAAAATAGGGAGTAACTTGGATATTTCCGATTTTGTCATTAACGAATATAATAAAATCACCAAGGGAAAAATACTAAATCCCGACCTCCTAGCCTGGCGCTAGGCATCTTTGGGAATTGGGAAAAAAGCTGCTTGCAAACTGAAACCTGGCGGCTGAAATAATTACGGCCTCTCCGTGTTATCCATTAGTTCCCCTGGCAGGTCCGTGAAACGGAATCGACAGGCGTTCATTACCAAACACGATCCGGGCAACCAGGTTACGGCGACCTCTTGACCTCCAGGGGTCAGGAGTCAACACTGACCATCTTTTTCCCTCCGCATCCGACCCAATTCTGTCAAAGTTGTGGCGGTTAACTTAACAATCCGCCGTTTGAAATAGGAAGCTGGTTTGCCTCTTTTGGCGAGAACACTTTATATTTTTCACTTCAAAGATCTCCAAACGGTGGGCTCGCTCTGTCGTTGGTAGAGAGGATTGACACTGTGCAGCTTTTTATATTATAAACCTGGTTGCCAGACTGTTCCCATGGCCAATAGACAGGTCAGTCCCCAGTCAGATTAGAGTCTAACCATGGAGGTAAAAATTGTACCTCCATGGTCTAGCTGAGGATGGGCGGGCTTGTGGTAAAATTTCCTTGGGGACAGGCTACTGGAAGAAACAGTCTGGCACCCAGGCTAGGACAGCTTCTACCCAACCTGTACAAGATGTAACCAAGGATATTATGTTAAACCAAGGAGGTTAAATACAATTTGATTTTAACTCCATGGTTAAACATGGCACCTTCTCTTCTACTTAACCCCTCCCCCCCCCCAACCCCCACTGTTGTTATTATTGCACAATCAAATGCAAAAGTTTGGCGCCCGTCCGAGTAAGCAGGCTTTACGTAATTCACAGTAATTCCCGCCGTTTCTGTGTTCTCCTCTGACTACAATGGCGACAATAAGGTTTAATCCGCTAATGAGAAAAGTGGCAGACGTCAAAGAAAACAAAAGCCAGCCGCGATATTCAAAAGACGAGTAGACCTTGCGCAGAAACAGATGCTGCGTTCTCACGTGGCTGAGAAGCTGGTTCAAAGTTGGGTCACACTTTCGACTCTCTTCACAGACCTAGTTTTAAGAAGCAGTCAGAGATGGCAGACTTCACCCCCTACCCATACTGCTTTGTCACCCCAGACGTTTATAAAGTAGCAACAGAGAATGTATGTCAGTGCTGTAGAGCACAGAGAGAGACAAACAGACAAAAAACATACATACATACACACACGCACGCACACACACACACACACACACACACACACACGTACCGACACCTGCAGGAAGAGAGGAAGGAAGGAAGAGAGAGGGGGAACTTACGTCTGCTTGGAGATGCTAGCTTGGGCAGAGAGCGTGTGAAAGAGTTCAGTGACCTTGCAGCCTGCATTTTGGACACTTGTCAGCTTTGTTTTCGGCGATCAGAACTGACAGGCGAGTCACTAATGTCTGCCATCTCCGCTCCGCAGGTGATCACAAGTGTCGGACCACCTGTGGGGCTGAGGAGATGGAACAATGGGTGGAACAATGGGGCAAGAACAAAGGGGTATCAAAGATACCCTGGTATCAGTCCAAGGAGCCTGAAGCCTTGATCAGTCCAAGGAGCTTCTACGTGTATCACTTCAGTCCAACTCTATGGTGCACTTTTCCGCTTAATAAAACAGCGACCAAGACCATCGGCACAAGAAAAGCTCTCAGTTTGCGATCGTACGTACGACGTAAATGACAGGCCCTTAAATCATAATCTTCTCCGCCGTCTTCCCCATTG